TGCGTGCCGAATTGGTTTTCCGGACTTATAAATGCAATTAAATTATTGTAATAATATCACAAAATTAAATTGACAAAGAATTTTTAATAATTCGATGCTCAATCAGGCATTATATTAGAAAGATATTAATGTGCTGAAAAACTATAAATAAATATTACGAAAAATATTACCTCAACCAGGAATTGAACCCAGATCTCTTGTATTTCGTACAAGCGTCCTAAGACTATCGAGGTTTTAGTAATATTCCTCGAAATAATCGGTATACGGTATACTCGTATGTATAGAAACATATACGAGTACATATACATATAAAATTAGTAGGAAAAGGTTGCCGATACCGACATATCATTTTGTTTTTAGACAATATTTCTTAAATAAAAGGTAAAAATAAAACTTTAAATAAATAAATACCAACTAAAAGTGTCTTCTATCAGATAATATAAGCAGTTCTTATAATACTGTTTTTACATACTGTTTTATAATAATTAATTTTTTTCGTAAGATAAGCAAAAATGAGCGTCTGACAAAATGGGCTCCAAAACTGACACAATGGAGTAATGCCACATATTCCTATTCTTTTTCTTTTACAGAAATTATTTGTATAAAAGACAAGTGAATGCATAAAATTTTCCTAAATTTTTTCACTTTAATATAAAACATTTTTGTTAAATTATATACTTTACTTTATGCTGTTCTGCAAGATGCAAATATGTAACGCAATAGTTTTTTAAGGGCTTTCTCGTACCATTGCCTTCAGCGCCAATAGATATTTGACACTATAAAGCAATATTTCAAAGATTAAGTTAGCTCATGATTTGTTTTGACAGACATGTGCCGATTTATGCTGCACCCCGATTTTATATTTAAAACCGTATTATAAAAAAACTAAGAAAGAAAAAAATATAAATAAAATTGATTTAGAAAATTACAAGCATTGAAAACGACGTAATATTATTAATAATATAGTTACTATCATTTAGATTACGTAATTTGCAAAAGAAAACGTAAGAATTTTATTTTTGCATAAGTACGTAAAATTCGTTTTTAACTGATTTCATATAGCCATAAATATACGGATTATGGGTTTACACTTTTTTAATTAACTAAATAGATCATATTTTTATTAGTATTAATAAAGTATAATAATTAATTTCTGAGAAATAAGGGAGTTCGCTTTAGGAAACCTATGTCAGTATCGGCGACTTTCCTCTATACATGCATATGCATTGCTATAAAAAACGACATAGAAAAATTGTGGACAAAAATTGATCAACTCTGACTAATGATAACTTTGTTACTACTAGTGAAAAATACTAACTAATGAAAAATTTGTAAAATAACATGTTTTTTTAAATGAAAGTTTTAAATCTCTACTTTAAGACAATATAGTCAGATTTTAAGTTTGATGCATCCCTACTGTAACTCTAAAAAATATGAGGGATATTTGTCATATTAAAAATTGCAGTTTGATGGAATGCACGGACTTCGTAAAATTTTTTGGAAAAATGCCGTTTGCAACGACATAAAGTTCGAACTTTCCCTTTTAATTTAAAAAAAAAACGAGCCGCTGCGATTTTTTTTCGCAAAATTACAGCACTTTAAAGTTATCTTTGCATTTTTTACATATACTACCAACATGATCTGCATTACCGAATATGCACCACGACGAGGTTGTTGGATGGATTTTGTATGTTTCTGCTGTGTGCAGATTTTGCATCGTTTTTCTGCGTGTAAATTTCAAAAACGCGGGTTACTTCTGCATTACTCGATACAAAACTTTAAAGTGTTGTAACTTTGAAAAAAAATCGCAGCGACTCGTTTTTTTTTGTTTTTTTTTTGTTTTTTAATTAAAAGGAAAAGTTCAAACTTTATGCCGCTGCAAACGGAATTCGGCAAAAAAATTTTGCAAAGTCCGCACATTCCGTCAAACTTTGCAATTTTCAATATGACAAATATCCCTCATATTTTTGAGAGTTACAGTAGGGATGCATTAAACTTAAAATCTGACTATATTATCTTAAAGTAGATTTCAAGCTTAAATTTAAAAAAAAACTATTATCCTATGATAACTTTTCGCAAAGTTATCATTAGTCAAAGTTGGCCAATTTTTGCTCAAAATTTTTCTATTCCATAATTTTTTTTAGAAGTATATTATATATATATATAAATGTATAATTTACATTGTATTATTTAAGCATTAAAGATTTAATTTAAAAATATATGATTATAACATAAAGTACAAGCGATAGGAATCAACACTCGTTATCAATTAGAACAATTCTTATTAATATTAAATGTATAAACCCGTATAATAAATCAAATCAAGATTCCTTATAAATCAAAGATCTAGAAAGGATACGGGCAGTAGGAATCAAGCGCAAAAGACGTCGCGCAAATTATATACCTATGAAGTGTGAAACTTCTTTATTCACTAAAACGCGCTTACATGTTTTGGCTTACATTTGAGCCTTCCTCAGAGACAACATAAACTAACATATATAAAAATTGTATATAAAAGTTATCCTGTTATGGTGAGCTCCCCTACATCGAAAATTTAAATGTCGGAAAAAACCAAAAAGAGTGAAAGAAAAAGGAAAAAGAAAAAAAGAAAAAAAGTAGGAAATATCGTAAAATAGAATATAGAGAACTAATTTATATATCAAACAACTTCAAGATTATAATTAATTATCCAGCAAATAGAAGGACGCTCACTATGCTCACATAGCATCATATCGCAAACATTACTATAAAAACAATTCAAGAACCGGTTCCCGATAATGTTGGCCAGTCAGTATCAGATACAGTGAGTCACTTTTTGTTTTTTAGCTAGTAATTTTCCGAGGTAACAAATGGAAAAATATTACAGTAAAGCGTTAATCAATTCCAAGAACAAGAAATTTGGAAA